GGTACTAAAGTCTGGAGCGTCCTGGCGAATGGCTTTTGCTTGTTAGAATGCACAGCATTACATATAAATGGAGTAGGATTCTAAGAATGGATTGTTTAACCAGGAAAGCGGATTGATTATTCAAGTACACTCATTCGCAAATCAATTTGGTTTTCACGAGCGACTAAACTGAATCTCTCGTTTATTATATTCTACAATCGAATGTGCTGTACACCGGCCCCTCATGATTTGGGGCCATATGATATTCGAGATATCGCAGTATATTTTCATAAAGGAAACTACTCAAAAGGTCGAAGAGTTTTCAGCAACCTTTTGAGTAGTTTCATTTACGGATTGATTACTATTCATCTTATTGGGCATTTCACTGGCATTTATGTTTAAGTTGCGAAATTGTCGGCCAACTTCAAAGTGTCTGAAGTTTCTCGAATAATTACTATGCCCTATTGTTAATTCGCGTTAGAGTAGTGCAGCCTTTGTATGATGTTTATGTATTGATTCCGTCTAATTCGTGGACTAAAGAAATCAACTTGAATTTGATCTCAGCTTGATGGCTATTACAAGATAAGAATCAGAAAATGATTGCATTGTTCTCAGAAGCTACAAATGTAATCACAGTTATTGAAGCTTTAAACAATTCCGTTCCTGATTTATTTTGTTTCACGGTTGTCATTCCAGTAAAAGCTATTTGCTAAGACCTTTGTTCGTTTTGCGGTCCCCTAAATGGACTACCTCCACTGTGACAACACTTACAGCATATAGAAAGTTTATTGCATGAAGTCTTTCGTAAGTTTTCTAGAACTCACAAACTCCAAAGGATGTAAACTGCTAGGGAGGTGTGCTTTATATCTTTGCTACTTCAGCATTGCTTTCCACGGCGAATTTAAATGGCGCTTATGCACAACTTTCCATTGGGAATTAGACTAATTGGATATTACCTACAGCCTCGAACTCGCTACCTACCAGCCACGAGTGGTTCTGTGAGATGCGCACAGCTGATAATTCCCAGTAAAAGTGAACCCGTAAAGTAGTGCTGCTACCTACCAGCCACGAGTGGTTCTGTGAGATGCGCACAGCTGATAATTCCCAGTAAAAGTGAAACAGCCCGTAAAGTGCTTCCGGGCTTTTCAGCTTAGGTTGTCTGAACTTACAGGATAAAATCTCCATTGAAATTTCTCAAGTCCCCTGATGATATGTTTCCAAAACAAAAATGAGTTTGAGATAGATGTATTTGCTTGAATGCTTCCAGACTTTGTTGCTATGAGCCAAAAGTCTTATTTCTAGACGTTTTACACGCATCGGCGACTGTGAATGCTATTGTTTGTTGTCTCCTCCTTCCGCATATATTCACGTTGAATATATATGTGATTTATCTCTGTCAATCAAAAAATTGTGCCGTATTTTCAGGCCGACCTTAAGTTTAGATTGAATGAGTCCTGAGAATTTCGCCCTCAATGGATTTGAAATTCGTAAACATTAAAATTAGTTCCAACTATTGACAACCAGAAACAATGAGCTAAATTACAGTGAAAGATCATTGGTCGTATTTACAAGTCCACAAATTTGCACATTTCCTGTAGCTTATCTATTGAACCCATAACTGAATATCTACAAATATAAGGATAAACCTTTAATTTTAATGTTAAGCATCGATCCAACTTGCGCAAGGTATTATTAGCGCCAGGTTGATTGTAGAGAACTCACCTTTCCTCCCAGTTATGAACAATGGATCCTTTGTCTGTTAAGCTACTTTCAAAGGATCGATTCCTCAAACGTCATGCAAATGTGATGAGTTGATAAGTTTGCCACAGTGTCTTCACCAGGATATTGTATCGATGTCATCAGTTGAAGTTTACATTATACAGTGATTACACTTGTTTCCATTACGGTTCAGAGACCCCCTTGAACAAGCCAGGAAACTATTTTTTACGTATTCAGATGGGAAGGAGCAGCGTACCACAGAGCAATGTAAAAACCCGACAATGACTAGTCTGCTGTTGTGTTGCTTCCAGACACATAAACAACTACAACAAAAGGCTTTTTGCGTACACTGATAAAGACTTTATAAAATTTTGAGTCGAACGTTTGGGGCAGGATCAATTTCATGACTCATGATGAAGACCTGAATGATTGTCTAAGGTGTCTGTGGTCATGATTTAATGTCAGAGTGTTGATTTCAATGATATGGTTTAATATATTCCTTATTTTAATATAAAACGCATTCTAAATGTTGATAACTTATTATGACAGTCCGTTACTGGTGAGTCACAAAAAATAAACTTTCTAGCGAGTTATGTACTCGATATATACAGGGATGCTTCCATTTCTGACATGCATGAAACTGTTGTTTTCTACTTTTTGCTTCTTACCGAGGATGAACCTCCGAAAATAAAGTTCGATTTCCTGCATTTTTTGTACAACGCGATGGCTTTCATTTCGCTCTTTTTTTATGGCTGCATTTTATACCATCTTTACTTTATAATATAAGAAGTTGGTCATCTTGGAATCAACAAGGTGGACCCTGTGCCTTGAGTAGCATCCTGACGTCAGGTGCTAAAAGGAGGTTGTGGTGGGTACCAACTTGAAAAACAAAGTGAAATTGGCCTTTTTTCGTACTTTATGGAGAATAGGGTCCCTGGGTGTCTACAGGTGTGTGTGACGCTTTATGAAGAAAAGGCGCGTTTAGATTATCGAAATGGGCAAATTAACCACCTTCTCATCGTCAGTAGGAGGACTTTGATGTGGCCGTGCTGAACAGACGTTGAAGTCAAAGTCCGTAGGAGCAGCACAAAGCAGCGCTGAGCAAGTGGAGATATAATGTAATACAGAGAATTTGTGAAGATAATTCAGAGATGATTTGGGGACGAATACTTGATAAGCTCCTTAGAGAATTGCAAACTGGCAGGACAAGAACAACTGGTGAAAATCGTCTCCTGAAAAGGGTGCCGGGTATGCCTCACTCATAGCTCGTCGTATCGTTTATACGCTAAATCTCCCCCTTTCGCTACTTCCTGTTTCTTCCTGCAAACTCCATTTGGCGCTTAGTTTTGTTTTCATTAGGTAACTTGCTATCTATGCTAACCCCTTTGAGCAAGTGAAATTCTCTCCTCCGAATCAACGCCATCACTGATAGAAGCCAGTTTGTTTCCACTGCCAGTTTGTATTTTTGGATGAACTTGTCGAATATTTTTCAAGTCTTAGGTAGTACCTCATTGGTAGTCTCTCCAAACAAATTTTCACAAATTTTCAAAGTAGTGGTTGTCAGACTAGCATTACCTTTGGAAATATCCGGTCGGTGACCCGTATTTTCGATCTGAGAGTCAGACTTTCGAATGAGAAGTTTGGGTAATAGGTGAGATGAAACTTGCGCAGGTCCAATTATGGTCAGTCACATCATGACTTTGTGCTTACCCGATAGAATCATGAGCAAATGCGTCCAAATGGCAGGTTTAATAAGTTTGCTCATCTGTGATTGTGGTACATGATGAAATGCGAGCACTGCAGTCGTTTCTTTGAATGGGACCGCTTGTCTCAGATGAGACCTCAGCAACTAGAAAAGTGGCCACTGTGACCGAAGACTGTACGACATCAGGCATGAAGGCTTCACCAGTGAGTGCTAAGCATAAGGCTGACGGGTGTTGTCCACTGAATTAATTTGTTGTTGTCATCGCCCATTTTTTGCTAGTGCTAGCAAATAACCTGAAATCTTCATCGTCTCGGACCAATGTTCGGTGAGCAGATTCTTTCAAGCGATGAAAGATCAGAAGTGAAATGATTTCAAACGCGGTGGATGACAGAAAAATCTCTTTGTAGCTTTAGAATGAACTGGTAAATGATAAAAATGGGAAAGGAATGAGTACTGTGCCTGGGTCCAAGTAATCCGGAGTAAGATGCGCGCAATTATTGCACGGTTTCTTGGAATCAAATCAATAGAAGCTGTAGCACTGTGAATCAATACTTTGGGATCATCATTGGCTAAAACTCAAATAAGATGTTTACATGGGGAGACGAAGAATGATATCAATTAGTTCACTCTTATCGTTTTGTAGTAAAAAATTTGCAGTGAATTTGAGCATCGAAAAGTAAAGTCTCCCTTGACTGACTGGTATGATGGCCAAAATCTGGAAGATTATAGAAAGCTGGCGTTAAGCTGCACCAGAGATTTCTGGATAACTGAACAAGGGTTTGCGTCACCAGGTGACCAATATTTGAGTAGAAAATTTTGGGCTGTTCAAAGTTTGGGTGGTTCCGGTGTGTCGACCGCCGTGTGCACACGGCGGTAAAATAGGTTCTGGCTGTGTGTACACTGAAATGATGAGCGTATGGTTTAAAACCACGAGATTTGGATGGTCCGCATACCTGGTCCGTGAATTCATGTGTCTTGATAGTGCTTTTTGAAATCTCGATCTTTTTTTGCATTTTGGGGAAAACAGAGCACTAACCTGGATTGAAATCTGAGAGCTGGAACAACGAGCAAGCCTTATTCATGGGTTTCCGATGGCAGTTACGTTTTTAGTAGGTATTGATTTAGGCACAAATAAAAGAGCTAGGAAATCGCATATTGATTATGACGTTACGCATGCGTTATGGTAGACTAGTGGGAATTAAAATGTTCGCGTGCCGTGGATTTATCTTGGATAAGGAGTAGAAGTTTCGATGTGGTTTAGTATCATTGAAGGGAGACAATTTTGCCGCGCGATTAGATTTAATAAGTGGAAATACACTCGAGTTTCGAATGTCAATTTTGTTTTCACGGGGGAGTCATGTGAATTGCTCTTTTGATGTTCTTCAACTAATGTGCTGCAGGAGACAATTTTGCCGCGCGATTAGATTTAATAAGTGGAAATACACTCGAGTTTCGAATGTCAATTTTGTTTTCACGGGGGAGTCATGTGAATTGCTCTTTTGATGTTCTTCAACTAAATGTGCTGCACAAAGACCGCCTCATGTTTCAGTTGGTACGATATTCGAGACACCGCAGTATAATCTCATAAACTACTTACAAGGCTGCTGAAAGCTCTTTGACATCCCACGCCCAGTTTTGCTCTTCCAAGGGCTCGACTTTATTCTTCCGATTGGTTATATCTAACCATCCAGCAAGATTTTGGACCATTCTTGAGGCCGTTTGCAGAGGAAGCTCCCAGGCAGAGTCATGGCAGATGTATTTGTGTCTGTCATGCTGCGTGCATGACGGTTGTCTTAAGGCTCTATCTGCCAACGTGGAGAGTATCCTAACGAGCTGCTTGTCAGACGAATAATCAGAAAAGTGACTTCAGAGAAAAGTTGACCTTCCTCAGCATATTACCTGCCCAGATAGAAAATATTTGTACGAAAGTTGTAAAATTTCTTTTACAGAAAATCTTTTAATCCATCATCATTCGTAACCCTGTGCAACTGTTTTCGGACCTTATAACGTTCGTTTCCAAGCTAGCGGTAAACGATTCCCATGAGCTGTCGTATATTTGTAGCATGAAACTTTTCAATTGACGCATCTTTGCTGCAAAACATATTGTGATGGAAGTTCATCCAACTATTTGTTCAAATTATCCGAGCAAAAATAACCACCAGATGCTTGTAACTTAGACATCGGGCGAGCCTAGCTGATCCAAAGGCTTTTCTCCATTTATTTATCAACAGCTAAGTAATATGGAAAGACCCAAAGTCAACGTGTGCGTATATTAGTTATATGCTCTTGTACATCGCTGGCAGCCATTTTTTACCTTTGCAAAATCAGTTATCGCGGGGCAGACCAACAGTTACAAAGTGTGCATACCGAGTGTGGAGCTTTGTACCTTTATTTTGCTTCCATTATAACACTACGTATTTCATCAATTGCATAAGTGTTTTTGTTTGAATACGAGAAACTACGAAAACGCGCACTTGTACAGTTTCACAGAATACAAGCGTGGTCACGTGCTTCTACTCTCTCTTCTGTTGGTTTCTCTCTTCGGTTGGTTTTACACGCGGCTCACCAATCGATTTCCAGGTTTGTTCACTGACCAGCTTGATTTCGGAGCCTTTATCGAACAGCAAACGAGCTAAGATGTTGTGGATTTGAACAGTCACAAACTTCCTTCGACAAGCAAAATCATCTGTGAATGTCGCCGTTGCCGAGTTGGATCGCGATTTGTGGGTTGCCGGTTGGTGAGCGATGGCTGCGGCAAGCAAAATCATCTGTGAATGTCGCCGTTGCCGAGTTGGATCGCGATTTGTGGGTTGCACGGTGGTGAGCGGATGGCTGCGGCCTCCCAGATCGTCATACACATTCTTTGTAGCTACGATGACTACTCCTGGAATATTAATGATGAATAAACCGGTAATAGCGAGGAAAATGCCACTCACCGCAATGCAAACAAATTGTGATTAGCTTGGTCTGTTTTCGATCGTTTTTTGTTAGCTTTCTTAGGTATGCTGGAGTCGATTTCCTCCGCATCGGTGCTTAAAGCCGTGGGTGGATGACCTATCACAGCCGTGTCCTGTTTCAGGTTGAAGTTCTGCAAGGTTATTTCGGCATCCTATTCAATTATTTTAAGCACCTGGGTTCTGATGTCAGAATCTTGCGATGATTAGAGATGGGAAAATAAAATGTGGTATTTAAATTTATTCTCCGTCATTGAGCGGACCCTCAAGCGCTTGCATTCCTAATTGATAAAAACAGCAAACGTGATAAAATCACCATCATGTTTCCTGGAAAACAATAGACATTAGAAACGGAAATTGTACGGTAATGTTTGATGGCCGAATATCTGAGATACTGCCCCGACGGTTGCATCAAAGATGTGGGTGGTGAGACAGATTGGGAAGAATTGAATTTGTGAACCGTTTGTGCTCCGGTGTGCCGAGTTTCCGCAGCAGTAATTTGACTACCCACTCTTCATAAGCTTGAAAAAATCGCTACAACCGGGGTTCAAAAGTGTGGCCAGAACCTTAAGCGGCAACAATTTTCTGGAAATTCTGACGCCTTCTGGATGCGCCACTGACAACCGGCATTCGGCCAATACTGGGTCATATTTGGAGGTTGAGTCCGGACTTTCCACTAAATAGATCGGCTTGGTGTCGGACCGGCAAGCGTCCTGGATTTTTGACCAATCTTGCATAGGATAGGCATCTCAGCCGCGGCAGCACCTGACTGTAAAGCGGGATCCGTTTGGAATTCCGCCTATCAGCTGTAGTGTACAAAATTCGATCTACAGCTATACCTTACGTTCTTCTAAACTAGTACAATCTGCCCGAATATGATGAACATTTTAATTGCCATGACTACTCAATATAGAAATTTTAGAGGTTAGAGAAGGAAAGGTTGGGCATCCGTCCAGTGGAGCAGAAGGAACAAATTAAAATCCAGCTAGAGGAGTGTCTCTCCCGCATCTGTTGCGTCCAGGAGTATACTATTGGCTCCAGCGTGTTCAGTAAACTACTACGTATATTTCTCGTCGATTGTCAGCGGTTGACGCTTTAACACAGCCTTCTAATTTGAAGGAACTGATGATCATGAAGATCCACTGACCTAACTAAATCAACCATACAGAGTGAAACATGGCTTTGAATAGACCATTGTGTCCAAGAGATAGATTGCAATTGTTAAATACCGAATGGCCTGTTCCTTTCCTGAATAAAACGTGCCAGTAACACGTGGCAAGGCCTGCCACGCCCAATCCTGACTTTCGGCGATCACAGATAAAGGAAGAAGAACAAGCCCGTGAGATGTTCCAGACTGTGTCCCGCGCCCTGAAAACTTCGCTTGCGATGAAAATTGTTTTACTGCACTAACTATGGTTACAACTTCACCGCGGCTATTCGTTTTCTTTCTGGCCGTGATTAACATCATTATATAACGCTTGTTTGACTCATGTTATGTATTTCCCTGAATGACGGAAAGGTAAAATATCATTGAGCAAATACCAGTAGGCAAATGAGTAAATATCTCTAATCATTTTATTCAAATGACCAAAATATTAAGGGGCTTTGTAATATGCACGCTATCGAAGCACCAAGGGACAGTGATTCTCCGAAGGCAGGTGATAACGACAATTTCTGTGGAAGGAAAACAGAAACAAAGCTCATGATCTGAAGCCCAGTAAGCAAGGTTGTACATCACCAATACTTACATATAAATCAGTCAAACTGACATACACCGTATACTGCAACTTGGATGAATGCTCACATACGAAACTTGGATACCTGAGACATGATGCGACAGTCGCTAAAGCGGTGGAAACTTTTATCCTAACAACAAATCGGATGCTAGATCACCCTCGCTTTTTTCGACGTTTTGCGGGTCAATGCAATTGGACGTTATCAAATACTAATCAAATCCAAAAGTGCCGGTGTTTATTGACTGAAACCAGCATCGCAAAGCTTTTTCTCCTGCCTCGTTGCTTCCAACTGGCCAAAAACATAATGTCTCACGCGATAGTTTGAAGACTGACTACTAATCGGCTAGCTTCGAAACCCAAACATTAGCCTCCCTGACTACCCGATCGAACGCATGTAACATGCGCTGATATATCTAGAGGGATACCCACACCGTACAATAGCCAATAGATCTTCTACTTCATCTTAAATCTGGATAAGCCTACAGCAGTCTACCGTACCAATTGGAAAATTTCCCTCCAATGAACATCCGCCTGCTTCTCTGGGAATCTGGCCTCTGGCTGTCGGACCTAACCCAGCCGTAATGTCCACACACTTCCAGCGTCAAGGTTTTCATGGCGTTTCCGGACGCTTCCTATTTAGACGGTGCTTTCTGTTCCGCCTTTACAGATTTTGATTATTCGGCCTCAAGCTCCCCTATGTGTAAAAGACCTGAGGGTCACCCTGCTGTTTGACGCTGTTTCCTGGCCAACACCTGCTTTCCATGAATCTGGCATAATCCTCCACAGGTGCAAAAATGATGGAAAATACACAGCCCATAGTAGAGGCCACATAAGGCACCAGGAATCTAATCCCTTCTCGGGCCCTTATCAAATGACTCTCATCGTCACCGTCCTACTGATGAGCACCAGGCAGCCTGAAGTTTCGGAACGACGCCTTTGTAATCCGCCAGCCTCTTCTATGACTAATCACTGGGGTTCCAGTGTGTTTGCTAGCCAGAAGCTGAATCACCTGTGCATATTTTAATAGGTGTTTCAAAACGTAGCAAACGAAGTCTGCCACAAGATTTGCAACTACTTGTACCAATCACTGCCTATATTATGCTTTCCAACCCAGGATGCATGGACGCCAACTACTGATAATTTATCGTCGACAGCCTTGTGGTCCTCCAATGATACCACTCTGGCTCCACAAGTAGTTTTCCAGTCAAATCGCTTGTTTTCTCCATTATCTTCAGTTATTCCCGCAAGGACTAGTGTTGATGTAACTCACTCTGCTAAGAAACGCGTAATTAGCCACTATTAATCATTTATCGAGCTTTCAATACCAGCGGTGTTGAAGTATTCCCTAGACACATTTAGACCTTTGCTCCTTTGAAATTAGTACTATTTTAGCGTCAACCGGAAAAAATATCGCTTTATTCACTACCTTGCTAACAAATTTATCGCAAACTTCAACTGATTACATAATATCCACTACTTGCGACTGCTGCCCAACCTGCATTGCCAATGGGCCATTTGCGATAACATCCAAAGCAGTCCAGTTTGTGCACTGAGTCATGGACTTGATCAATACACCATTCAGTGACGTCTCGCTCCTTACCTACTTTTTAAGTAGAACAAGGCCTAGGGATGTAGCAATGGCATTTTTCCAACTCAATACTACCCACAACACAAAGCGAAGGACGCGACTCCACCAAGTATTTTGACTTCCTCCGAGCATTCCACACAATTTAGCCGCGTGGCTCTACCATGGACCACCTCTTATGCCTCCACAATCCACAAAGTCTTATTTACGTACTTTTTCCTGCTGGCTGGATACCTTCTGGGTCATAGCTAGAGACCCTATTCAACACGCAACGTTGCTTGCTCCGTGGGAGTTCATTCATGGAGTTCGCAGATTTCCAAACATGTCTTTCTTATTAAGGACTAAATGTACTCCAACTAGGACATTCTGGCTACGGCTCCATTTGTCTTAGACCTACCTCCGGTGTGCCATTTCTTGTGGTGCCATAAATGCGGGGTTCGCCGGATTTGATCCTTATTTCTTTTACAGCCTCTTTTCGAACGTTTTAGTTTCCTCTTCTTCTCCGTTAAGTCCCAGGTACTGGACAGATCCTCAATTTTCCCGAATGCTAACATCATTTTGCACATCTTCATTCCCCATTTGCCTCTCTTATCGAGCAAAACCTCAAGCTAACTGGACGCTAAAATTCACGGAACTGGCCAAAAATCCCCAGTATTTGGTGGAATGTAATTGTTACCATTTTTTAAGCCTCCCTTGCATCCATCTCTTAAACGACTCGATATGCTTGAAATAACTCACTCGACTATACCGTGGAGGGTCGACTGTTACTCTTCAAATTTCCCCGCCCAACTTTTTATGATAACTCTCGCTACGAGCGAGTGATTATGCGCACTGTCTATGTTCAGCACCGTTTTTTCAACCTATTTTTCCTCCATGAAGACAACCGTCACCAGCAGTCATCCCTCGAAACGGGAAATAGTTATTGTGGAACCCATTAGTGTGGGGCTTTGTTTTCCTTCAACTTATAAAACGGACCCATAGAAAACGTGATTACGTCAGTAGTGTCCGTATCATCCAAAAACATGCATTTTTGCTACAATTTATTTAGCAGAAGATGCCGTTTAACTTCAGATTGCCAGGCCAATTCACCTCGAACAGAGTTTCTAGCGCAATCAGTTCAAAAGATGAGGTTGGCACAGATCCAGTCATCTCCATTTTGCACCAGAATGACTGTGAATCTCAACAATTTTTCTTTCACAAATATTAGAAATGGCACCGATTTTGGGTGAATGGCACAATGCCAATGGACCAACAAGGGCACACAAATAAGATTTCTGATCGTGTGGACGGCGGTATTTGGCCACTGCACCGTTTTTACCAGTTTCTTCCTTTCATAATTGATTGTGCAAAACAAGATCCTGCAGAAAACTTGAAAAACATCAACTGTGAGAAACAGCGCTCACGCTAATTTACTCCATAAAAGGCGCGGCTCACATTACCAACAGTCAGATAAACATTGTGCACTCACGCAGTTGTGAAGTTGTTTCAGATAATATGCACTTAGAATTAAACTAGTTTACCAAAGTTATAACTCGGAAACCCGCGTCCGTCAGGTCTCCTATAAACCTGACCAGAAAAATGTTAAGCTTAGTTTTGGTGAACAACTAGCCGAAAGAAATAGTTACGTGCCACAAACATTGGCTTTTCCCTTAAAGAATGAACAAAAGTCCCTAACTGACGTATATAGGTTCCACATGCACTTCTAAATTCCTGATACAACAACCCCTAAAAAATCTTATCGCCTGACCGTCTTTCAGATAACTGTTATCAGGCAGCCATTGATGCGAGAAATCTTGCGGTCTAATTAGGTGAAAAGTCCCATCAAATCTCACCTCCAGACACTCATTCAGGCAATCTGGATAGAAATTGATAACAACATCGCCACTGACATTAGTTGCTAGTCGTAACTTGGAGCGTCTCCAACCAGGTGCATTGGGGGTCACGCAGTCCACACCCTAAAAGGCGCGTAGCACCGACAGCACCCAAAGGTTTCGTAATCTCCTTCATACCCCTATGCCAGGTCAAGGATTGGCAAACTCTCTGCTTCTGCCACTCTGAATTGGGCATGTAGAACAGCATCTCTTCGGCAAACGATGGCTAGGCAAAAGAAACAGGTGTCCCAACCAATGCAGCTTCTGGTGCTGGATATACTCCTCAATTGAAGTACCCGTTACACAACCAAAAACTCGCTTACTAATTGCCTTGTTATGGATACGCCGATACCAAACTATACGAACTATGGTTCTGAGAAAACGAGTGTCAGATTCCTGAAAACGTCTCAGTTCCACTGCCCAGAAGGCCAAGTCTTACACAACCAAAAACTCGCTTACTAATTGCCTTGTTATGGATACGCCGATACCAAACTATACGAACTATGGTTCTGAGAAAACGAGTGTCAGATTCCTGAAAACGTCTCAGTTCCACTGCCCAGACAGGCCAAGTCTCACAGTCATACAAAACAACCCGCACTATAGCTTGATACACACGTACCAACGTGCATTTTGATCCTCACACAGCAAAATTCTCTACACAACCACATGCAAATTTAGCTAGTCAATTGACTGGAATATGGCAGCATGATCCCCACTTGGATCGATTAGACGTTCGGACCACGTTAAGTGGAAACCACATGGACGGCGACCAAAAACGCGCAGTAAAAGAATGTTGGTGACTCACATTGTAATCAACTTGAACAGATCAGCGAATAAATCAATGGTGGTGTTAAAGCGCGGCCGTGTCCCAGAGTTGTTCAATGGCACACGTCAAACACTCAGGCATGAAGGCTGTTTTTAGGAGATAGGCGCAACAACAGTGACCCTGGAGATTATTTATTGTGTTTCTACGGAAAGTTAACATCACTGATTCTAATCCCTTGACTATGCAAATGTGGCTTCTTTAGCCGTACGGAAGATGATTTTTCTTACTTTTCGCGACTCCATACCATGTTTTATGCGTGGCTTCCCTCGATGAAAACGAATTAGCCCAAAAGTACGCTCATTTTTGCACAGTTAGTGGTAGTTGAAGATGCTCAACTGAACTGTTGGCAACAGTGTCAAGCTCACGTTGTGAAGTATGCAGTAGATTGGATTACTTTAGTGAACGCGTCCAAGATGTTTGACATATGGACCAGCATTGAACGTGCAGCATTAATTCTAACCCACCTAATAGATGTGGCGTCAAATTGCAGGAGAACAAGCGAATTCTTCGATAAGCTCAAGCACGATTCCGAGTGGTTGTGTAGTGAAACTGCGCCCTTCAGTCCTGAACGGGTCATAAACGTCAATGAAAATGGTTTGGACAGGCCGGTTCCTGACTTACCAACCACTGGGCCCTTTTCTAAAATTAGGGGAGGCAAATTTTATAATCAGGCGAGAGGTCATAAACCATGACCGAAAATCACTTATCTCAATCGTGTTGGTCGGTTTTCACCGACAGCTGATAACTTGTCAGAAGCAAAACAAGAGGAGCATTACATCCAAACCATTGATGAATTTTCAGTACGCCAGTTGCAGCTATATCTGTTCATAAGCCGAGAAATATCTTGCAAAGTTTGTGCGTTTTATTTGCCACACATACTGACTTTGAAAAGAGTATCCTCCTTCGTTTTCCTCTCATCTCGAGGGCGCATCATACAGCCTAAATATGTAAACTCTCAAACGAGGCTAATATGTTAATTAACACACGGTCAGCCATTTTGTAACTGAAAACATGACAAAGACAACCCTAAACATGTTTCCTTCAAAATGAAAGTACTGTATAGTGTAGCAAACTACACATTACACGTTCCATAACATTTCCAGTTAGTTTAAAGCACCGATCCCAAAAGTGAATTATGTACACCACGTATGATATTTTACATAGACAACTAAAGGACGAAACGAAACGACCAACAAGACTCGAAAATTCTGTGAAATATTCACGACAGAGTTAAGTAAGTAACGAGAGTGTGTAGAAATATGAGCGGAAAATCTTTGCGGTAACCATCGAGTTAAGGAGAAATTGCTCGACTGTCCACTTCAGGGGTCCCACGACTAAGTAAAACAGCAAGCTAGTGAACCAACGCATTTGAGCAGCTTTGTTGCACGAGCCGCTCAGTTATTTATTATTATTATTTACTAAAAGGTTGAAATAAGCTGCCGTCAAAGCTAGTTCCCATGCGTACATCTCATCTGTAAATCACACGGTGATTTCGTTCTCTTTGTTCACCAGGAAGCCATCCGATGAACAGAAATGGATGATCTGGATGACCTTCTGCAGGATGTACAGAATACCTATCCGAACAAAACCCCCACAGTTTCAACCAAGTACGCTCAGATTGAGAGTTAGGAACATGGAGAGTTCCAAGTAGAGTATTAGATCAGGGGGACCTAGACAGAGAAATTTCCGAGATGCTGGAAGACAAAAGGGATGAATTTACGGTACTGTCAGCTTCCTGTTTCACTAATGCGACCTACAGAATCCCGAAAAAAAATCCGGTGGGTGTAAGGCACTTAGCGAATCTGTGAAGTGTAGTGCAGCTGCTGACACGAGCACCTCCCATAGATGTAGTGTGCCATGTATAGCGGGCGTTGAAATGTCTCTTGGATGGAACAAGTATAAACTCCACATTACAGATCAACCAATGGCCTATAGAGCATGCAATACCTTAAGATGCATTGCGTGTGATAACGCAGTTGTCATTTTTGATAATAGCAGTTGGAGCTCGGATGTTGACTACTACTTCCTTCGGACAAATTACCCCAACACAAAGCAACTCCAGGCCAAAATGAAGCGGAAAAGAGGTAAGTAAATCCGCTCGAGCATTTACGACTTCCAGTCCATGAGCATGCACCGAGTATTTAAAAAACCACAGTATTGTTGCTCAATATTAAGATTACCCTCAGGAAAGTTAAACTGATTGACAAGATGTTTCTCATAGTCAAGTTCTCAAGCGCATAGGAGTAGCATTACGATAATGACATCTTTCGTATAAAGAAGCTTGTAAAGACTGCCGAGATAAAAAAATATGACTACCCACCAGTGATGAGCCTACTGTCTGAGTGAAACAACGGTTAGTTAGAACTACAGTCGCATCCACACCCAAACCCACTAGCTATGCCAATAGATCGGTGGATGAGTGGTCAAGAAAGTCACCTGATCGACCTCTCTAGGCCTGCTCGCTGAGTTCCAATGGCGTTGGAGTCGTACGGACTTCCAGGATCCCATAAAATGGCAATCTTGCAGGTATCCATGAATGAGAAACAGGTTAGGGGACTTAGAAAGACCAAAATAAAAGCCGATTTTCATACCCGAGCATTTTACATAGTGCATTTTAAAGACTGAGTCTAAAACCTAGAAATGATATGATGCACAGATACAGAAAAACATATATCACGACCGGAACATGTCGTTACAAATACTGTCCCAATTTGGGATACCAGTGTTAAACTGGAATACTGCGAAAATATGATGTGCTGCAGAACACCAGATAATCAACACCATATGGAGTGCACAAATATAACCACTTTTAGTTCGCTGTATGAAATGCCTTCAACTGACTCATTAGTTATGGCTTGGCCAACCTGGCATTATCCTACTCCTCGTGCTTCACTCAGAGGTCATGACACAAAGGCACCAAAAGGGTGTTGCATTTGAACGGTTAGAGGCCGACGGTGACTAGTTTTGTGTAATTTTGTTTGGCGCAAAGCGATTCCAGTGTACGCTGAAAGAATTCCACAAAGTGACAAGACACTTTTTGGGTGAAATAATTCTAATGTCTAATGAGACCGATGTTATTGTTTCCCACATTTTGCAAAATGAAGTCCAAAATACTAATCTATTCTAACGTGCACATGGCTTCCTTGTGCTAGGTTCGCCGTCAAAGTAACAAGGGGTGATCAACACCGGTAGGACTTAGGTTGGCTGTTCGTTAATATGACAGACGAAGAGCGAAATCATTTCTGCACGGCTGTGCAGACAAAAACATGACGGTCCAGCACCCATCCGAGTCTCGTAACCACAAGTGATTCGCCGCGTTAGTTTATGCAGTCCAGAGGAACACCAGTTTGTTTCGAACTATCCATGCTGGGTGCCCCATTCCAGGATTTGCTTCAGGCATGTGAATACACCATCGCTATGGGTTTGTATTTCAGCTGATTCAATCGCGTAACTAAAGTGTCGATCAACACATGCACCGACAAGGTATGACCTTTCAAATCAAGAATTTACCGCTGAAATTTCATCAGTTCCGGACCAAAAACAAATAGAACACACCAAGATAGTTGTGCATGAGGCCTCACCCCACGTCCCAGTAACCGAATGTGGAGTGTATGAGCCTGGATCCTGTATAAACAGCAGTCCCTTTCTGTCAGACTTTGGTCAGAGGTATAAATTCTTTAATGTACCCGAATACATTGGTTCACCTCACAGTGTGCAAGCGATTGGGGATATCCCGTTTATGGCTAAGTATTTACTACACCCAGATAATATAATATAATATATAATATATCAGTATCCTCAAAGCTTGCTAGTAACCAGCACGTTTCAGAATATTGCCCTTTTGGCTGAGTCACGTTTCTTATTAAACATGGTCCGTTAGCTGGTGATCAAGCAGGCATGTAACCCGATTTCTCACTCCAACTAGTGGTGAACGAGGCGATACTGCACAGTTACCACGCCAGGGGATTATGCGAACTAGATCACCAGATGATAACCACTTTTTTTGACTGCTTTATCCTATAACTTTTTAAACAGGCATTTTCGGAGGTGTAGGCAATCCAATTGTTTGTATTAGGCTAGCATTGGGCATCTTCTATGTTTTTTTTATGGGGCTTTGCTTAACTAAAATGCGATGTTTCAAGGGATGTTCGGTATGACTGTTCTCATATTGACGTTGCTATCAACATCGGTGACTTGATGCACCATTGTTCAAAACGCGCACGTTCCTGAGTTTCGTCAAAATCACATGAGCGAGTCATCAAAACGTTAGGTGTCAGGAGAGTTCCAGGCGGGCAGAATGTCTGTATCGCAGGGTTTGAATCACTTCAATTTGTATAAATGAGAATTAGCAAGGGTGGATTGAGGAACTAACATCGTTCGCAAAAAGGACCTTATTCAGACAAACTTTTCACACTCAGACAAGTGAACTTCGTGAATATGGCGATATGATAGATGTTTGCGCGCAAACGTCAGCTCGTGTACGGTCTGAACAGAGAAATCATTAAAAAGTATCACATATCGCTTTTGTAATGCACTACTCATACGGTTACTGAAAACTCCTCGACAGCCCACGACCGGTTTCGCCCTTCTTGGGGCTCATCAGGTAGGAGCAGTTCACGAGTTTCCATCAACCTTATATTCCGCTTGAAACCAAATTGCACGAAATTAGCGAATATACACTCATTTGAAAATATTACATATCGCGCCCGAAAGGTTCCGTTCGGGATGGACTGTTTTCCGTACGTAATACTATTCAGATTCACAGTGAAACCAAAAGCCTTGTGTCAAGTCAACCATAAATTTCTTTTCTTTTCTTACAGGGAGTCGTGCTTACTGCTGCCAGTGTAGCTCAACGGAAGCAACGAAGTTGATGTGTTTGGGTGGGATCCCATCGTTACAGTGGGTTTGTGGAAAGCACGCAAAATGACTGGACAAATTCGAGCTGCTGCTGCACCGCAATATACGGACAATTATGCGCTCACAACCGGCCCTCTCACCCAAAATGTACACTAAGGAGAACCAAAAGTATGCTCAGATGTTTCAATAACTTTAACCAGGGTGGTTTGGCCTTTTCAAAAATAATCCCTTATAGACGACACTGTGTTAAAGCTCAGTGTGCCGCAGCACAATACTGCCTGATTAGGAGTAAAGCGTCAAGTAGGCGTATGCTATGCATATGAACGTGTGTAAGCAACCAGGCCGAAGCTGGAAAGGTACCTAATGGGAAAAAAATGAGGAATGCGAACGGAAAACACATGGTCAAAAATATGTATTTACACGCACAACTTAATCTACAGGAGGGATCAGCACATCGAGAGCGGATCTGATGCGTTTCTTAGCCAATTTCTTTCGGGAGACTAGAATGTCGCTGGGTTTTGATTTTTCTTCATGCTTGCTTTGTTGCTTCTGAGGTCGTTTGCGTCCGGTCACTCCGAGAGCGGCCTTCATGCTAAACATTTTTCGTTCAAGACGTATGTGCTGTTTTTTGGCTTCGATGCGGCCTGGTTTAGAACGACCTTTCCTTTTGTTCTTGTTCACCTCAGGCATGGGTATTTTGAGGGGTTCACCGAGCTGGAAAAAGAGGTGAATACATATGTATGAACACTGATTACGTGACGTAAGACTAAACAAAGAACCAAAGCAATCGTCGATATGTGCGACGTTATTAATGCCCTGAGGATGTCACTTGGGTTGATAAAACACCTGAAACGAAGTTTTCATGCCCCGAAAAACAACCAACGACTATCCATACAACCTGAGTGACCTATATTCTTCATGATAGCAATATCTGAAAAATATTTTGATCTTTTTGTGTTTCAGCACGACCGACGGCCTAATTTACACTAAAGACTACCAGAGAAGTGCCGAGTCACTCACCGCGTACGAACGAGCCTACGAGATAGTGGTTAAAAAACTAGGCGGTTGAAGTCACAACCGCTTGCGTAGTGAAGTCGTAAACTGAGGAAAGTTGGCCAGTGTGCAGAGAGACTAATCTGATGGACTCGGGCTCTCAAAGCTCCAGTTATCTAAAAATAGCAACTCAGGTTCAGCTCCACTTTTCCATTCGATTACCTTGAGATGATTCCCTAGTATTTTGCTAGACTTGGCCTGTTATTCTCCATATCGATTAGTGAGGGTCATGACGTTGTACAGATATAAGGGAATCAAAAAAACGTAGCTTATTGTTTGCGTATGCTAACAATACACTTTTAAAGGATCCACAAACTATATATATATATATTCTAATAAACTCTAAAGCTCTATAGCCCGAATAACCTTCCGAAGGATCCATTGACCATATAAATCCAAATGAACCTCTTACTTAATGATAGTACAGGTAACTCGTAGTTCCAGGTTGGGGGAAAATTAACCAAGGCGCTACTCAATGCCAGAACATCTGTTTGCGGTACAACCCAGCCTACCTAATCCAAACATTGGATTTCTGATAGGACCGTGTCTTTGCTGGAGACCCGGTGACGGATCCATCCTGGACGCAGTCACAACTCCACCCGACGCATCATCTGACGCCAGACCGAGAGACCTGGTGGACCCGAAAGGTCAAGGAAATAGAAGATGCAAAGAACGCTGGAAGCGTGAGCAAACTGTTCCACTTGATTCGTTCGACTGGTCCTCGGAAAACTCTTGTAAGCGAAATAATCAGAGACCAAAATGGCTCTCTGATATGCAGCAAAGCAGAGCGTTTGGACCGCCGGGCACAGTACTTCCAACAGTTATTCAGCTGGCCACCTGCTACCTCCAATCCAGAATTCTGGTCTCTAACAAAAAGGTGGATCGTGAATATGGAGCCGCTTTCGGCCTCAGAAATATTCGAGTGTAGTTCCCTACTCAAGAGTCATCGTGCTGCTGGTCCTGAGGACCTTCTGCCTGCTCTTTTCAAGAATGGCGGTGGACTTCTCAGTCAGTGCCTGTCTAGCTTATCTGGTTCTATCTGGGAGAAAAACACCATCCCAGACAACTGGGATGAATCGATGGTAGTGCCCATTTTCAAAAAGGGTACTCGCGGTGAATGTAGTAACCACAGGTGTTGGTTTGACTCCTGTTGTGACAAGGCTTCTGGCGTTAGTGGTTCTTTGTCGTCTTACGGTGGCATGCCTTGACTCGTGGGAATCAAGCGGGATATTGACCGGGTAGAGGCTGCGTTGACCACATCTTCACACTCCGTCATGTGTTAGAGCAACGTCGCATGTACAGACGATCCACAATCTTGGTATTCCTTGACTTCAAGGGTGCGTCTGATTCTGTTGATCGATCACTGCTGTTAATACACTTGCTCGACGGGGCACGTCCCAGAAATTTGTGAACATAATCCGATCCCTATATTCACATAATTCTACGCGGGTGAGAGTGTATGGTGAGCTCTGCAAAAGCTTCCCTACAAAAAGTGGTGTCAGACAAGGATGTTCACTCTCTTCATTCTGGTTCAACTTCATCATTGATGAAATAGTGAGGCGAACGCTGGAAGGTCTTCGAAGCCCTGGTGTTCAAACTGTTGCTGGTGAGAGCCTTGTCGATCTGGAGTACGCAGATGACATTGCTCTCATCTTTGAAGATCAAAGCGAGGCAGGAACGAAACAGTCCAACTTACAGAAGCCTCCGGGTACACTGCTGGTCACAGTTCATGTGAAAGGTAAGGCGCCAGCTTTACCATTTTTATCTACATGAGACCAGTTGACTATTCCTCCTAATGAGCTCTCTCATGAGAAGTGTGAACACAGCAGTGCGAGACTGTACAGAGGCGTAAACCACGCCGAATCACTTATTGCCAACAAACTTTGAAATGTGTTGCACAGTAGCATCGAACTGATATAACGAAACTGAACCAATCGGTTCTTCATCACCTACCACGAATGCGCTTTTGCGGCAACCGTGATACTGAATGCTGCCTGGTCAAAGCAACAAGAATGTGGACTGCAGAGGAAGCTGAAACTACGGCTACCATAGAAATTAGACCTGCTGAATTTGACTTGATTGAAACGGAAATGTACACCACAGAACGCGGCTGCTCGTGACAAATCAACAACTTTCACTACGAGTTTTGCCTTTCGAAACGTAATACGTTTTTTCCAAAAACCTGAAAATGGGCTGAACAAGCTTGCATCGGCTCCTTCATCATACTCAGATTGACTGGCAACATGAGCCGGCACAGAACGATCTATTGTTGAAGTCCTAGATTGTGTCTCCTAAACATAGTGAATGAGGGTTTACGGGTGACCAAGGTTATCGTAGTTGTCCCAGTATCCCTCTCGAAACGTCACTATATACATACGAATAATAAGTTATAATACATATATATGTATATATAATATTAATATAACAACATTGTAATATTACATTATTCTACTGTCGTATCGCCAAATGTAACTGGTTTAGGATAGATGCGCAACTCTCTAGTCTGTTCAACGCGTAAAACGATACTAACAAAACATTTCATACAGTGATTGCAAGGAACTACCTACCAACATAGACTTCTTCTTTTCCCATTCCTCCAAGATGTCTTCACGACGGACTTTACCGACTAGTGATTCCAATGAGATCATCGTGTACGGGATCTGTAGAGAGACAGAGAGTGTGTGAAAGGGATCATGTAACTTTTTCACCGAAAACTCATGAAGTTAACAAAATCTCGGAGGGAAAATCCATCCCGAAAACTGAATTAAATGGTTCATTGAAACTACCAAGACTTAACGATAATCCGCAAAAAGGAACCATCAGTTACGCACTTTCTGTGATATCAGACGTATTACAGCCAGCGGCGATCTTGTAAACACGAGTTAGGTAGGCTAACCCAGAATACGAATGTCAGCATTCGTCCCTTTGTTTCCTCCTATCATCATCAACATTACTGATATAATCAATTTCGGAAAGCCATGTTTAGAAACCACACGACTGCGCATTTTTTGCGTGTACGAAAACCCTTATGTAAAAAGGGTAACATGATAATGTGAAGAAACCTGATGCAAGTAAATGCAAACTCCTTATTGATACTGTCTTCATTTTCCTCCTTAAGCATGCGTCATTATGCTTATTGGCCAGTCAAACCAAGTTTACTCGTCCCCCGGTGGGAACCATAAACTATTTGTACAGAGGGTACCAGTTAAGCACCGCTAAATCCAGGTACAGAAGGCCTAAATATCTGAATGTGACCCATTTTTTCTGCGGATGTGTGATGGAGCAGTAAAAAATTGAAATTACATTAGGAGCACTTTTCTGGATTCTTTACACCTTTCTATCGAACAAACTGCAGAATAATTAGGGTAGCGAGTCTATAACTGGACAGGCACGACGAGGCGGAGGATGGGTGCAAGCAATTAACTCCAAAAGATAGAACCAGGGTTAAGATAGGCACATCGATACTTGGTATTCTGGTCGGACATAGATATTGTGTAACATTATCGGTTATCACGAATCTAGCTGACCTCCAATTGGGCAATTCTCAGAGTAAAATTAAGGATATTGACCTTATCGAGCAAGCGCTTGATTTCTCGTTCTTGGCGGTATCTTTTATTGGCGAAGGGATTCTCTTCAAGGGCATCATAGTTAGGTTCCGCGCTTCCGGGACAAAGGATAGATGAGATCCCTGCGCTGGTGCCAACACCCAACACATCCTCATACGGACAAAATCGAACTCGATGTACAGGTCGCACTGCATAGTGGTTTAGGTAGGCATTAGTCAGAACACGCCGAGTCACACCATCAGCAATGAACTCCTGTTCTGGTAGGACGGTGCCAGAGGAGGTGGAGCCAATCGATCCAAAGTGAGGGTCCTTCAGAACCTGAAGCAGAAAAGACCGAAGGGAGAATATGTGTACGGACGGTACACCGAAAGCAAGTGTGAAACTAAAAAAAGGATCAATAGATGTCGAAAGTGGAAGTATCATCAGAGGCGTTATACACCACTGCAGGAGTCAAATAAATGCGTAGATAAGCACCGCGGCATTTACATTTAAAGAACTGGTAGACAGGTGTCCATACGGACCAGTGAACGCACATGAACGACTGAACATCATCATCATCATCATCGACAGCATGACATCTACAACACGGTAGATGTCGAAAGTGGAAGTATCATCAGAGGCGTTATACACCACTGCAGGAGTCAAATAAATGCGTAGATAAGCACCGCGGCATTTACATTTAAAGAACTGGTAGACAGGTGTCCATACGGACCAGTGAACGCACATGAACGACTGAACATCATCATCATCATCATCGACAGCATGACATCAGTGTACAACACGGATGCTCCACTGCCGTATAACCATGATTTATTTGAAAGCCTATTTTGAAGAAAAAAACAAAGGTGGAAAGGAGTAAGGACTTAGTGATAGCTTACTACAATCATTCCAAGGTGCCTACACCTCCAGACACAATTAGGCAACCTGGACAGATATTGACAACAAGAACACCACTGACATCGACTGGCAGCCATACCTTGGAGTGTCTCCAACCAGGTGCAGTGGGGATCACGCACTCCTCATCCTGGAAGGTACGTAGCACCGACAGCAGCCAAACGTTTCGTAATCTTCTTCATACCTCTCTGCCAGGTCAAAGGTTGGCCGTTGCTTTGCTTGCGACACTCTAAGTTGAGCATGGAAAATAACTCTTTCTTCGGCAAACGATGGTTCGGCATACGCAGCATATGTCCCAACCAACGCAGCTTCTAGTGCTGGACACAGTCCTCAATGAAGTACCCGTTGCAAAACCAAAAACTCCGTTTCTAATTGCATCCTTATGGATTCGCCGATACAAATCCATAAGGGCTATGGTTGTAAGACAACGATTGTCGAACACCTGAAGAGGTCTCAGTTTCACTGCTCGAACAGGCCAAGTCTCACAGCCTTACAACAAAACAGCCAACACTGTAAAAAAATCGTTCAGCTGTAGCACCCTTTCGGTGTCCAACTGCCATGCCTCCAGAAGGAAGCACGAGGGCTGGGATACTGCCAGGTTGCCCAAGCCTAGACAAGGAAAGTCGAGAGGCAGAGGTCGGGTTCGAACCTTCCGGTCAGTAAATCCGTGCTCTAACCACTGAGTCATTTCAGCCGCACTGTAGTTTGACACATATTCCTTGAGATTCAACGGTACACCACTCTGACACCACACATATATCAAATTAGCAAACGCGATCCAGACCTTGTAGATTCGTGTATTAACTTGGTCGGTCACACTACAATCAGAACTAATACAACTTCTAGGATATGTAAAATACTCCGCAACTTTCGGTCACTAATTACCAAACCCACAGAAATGCAGGGCTTGATGAAAATACGGTCTCGACAATTTCTTCAGTACACACTAGCACAAATGAAACTGCTCACCGACAGGAAGGATGAGAGGATAAACACGGCTTAGGATCTCAATAGAAGGATAATAAGTGATCCAAATGTGTTTTATGTCAGCACTCCAAAATATTGTTTTTAGCTAAGCCTGTTGGGGTACACTTCCAGAGAATGAGCAAGAACATGGAGTGATTCGTGATAAGGACGACGGCACCTCATGAATTTTCATTTGCTGAAATCAGAAGGAACAAGGTGTGACAGAAGACATCAAATAAACTGGAGGTTCTTACTTGTACAGTGTTTCCAGCGCCTATAGCCAACAAACCTCGCTGACTGTAATCCATACTGGAAGCAGAAACTGGTAGATTTATCTCCGACAGCGGATCGTAGGTCGACCGGACATCCCATACCTTGAGCTTACGATCCAGAGCACAAGTAGCCAAATACCTAGTAAATAAATAAACCAGGAAGTGGAACAGTTGTACGATTGGATGGGACAACGAAGGAATTTAAAGACAGATGTATCGCACTACAGAAGCAATCCGAGCATCATACTGTAGATCCAGCAGAAACAGAGAGCCCAGACGCAAGAGTAACATCACTTTTCGCCCAAACCTAGACAGGAGCTGTTGAAATAAGAAGGTTAGGTTCCGCTCAGTAAGTACGCGCGTTACCTCGAGCTCATTAGCGTAGTTAACGTAAGGGAGATTAAAATGACTCCCAAAGAATGATGGTAACTAGCAATCTGCCTCACCTTCCAGTTCGATCGCAGGCGACAGACGTTAGTCCACTTTGGTGTGTAAACATTTTGACGACAGAACATTTCTCAGAGGGAATCCACATACACACACAGCCATTATTGTGTCCGGTGATAATAACTCCATTTGAAGGATTCTGGCACATCACCCCCAGCCTACCCATATAAGTAGGAAGCGAGGACACAACTGAGCCGACCGTACAGTCCAAATAATAAATGAACCCGTTTGCAGCCTGCGAAAAGGTAGTTAAACTAACATCAGAACACAAAAAGCATACCGATGCGACGAGGAGAAAATGGTAGGGAAGAAACTCCAGACGGAGTATCTGATGCAGTTGTTTGATACAATGCACTTCGATTCCTTGATTGTCATAAATGGAAGTGGATTTTGGCTCAGCGACGGCAATGAAAGTTTCCTGGTGTAGAAATCTGAATAAGAAAGATACGGTAAAGGAACGTATTCTGACTTGATATCCTTGCATTCCTGAGCGACGTTAATATCGAACAGAAGGTTCTTAGTTAACCAGTCAAATCCAGCCACATTTCCCGACTTCCCACAATAAGCCAGAAACCTTTTGAAGATAGAATCAGGAAAAACGTCGTTACCTTCCGTTTTTAGAGTAATCAATTGCATAGGGACCACCGCGCAATGATATGTCGAACCGTTTTGTAGCTGACCCAATATCTACTTCGGCAAGAATATCTTTTTGAGTAACTCGTTCTCCAGGTTCCTTTGAGAACTCCCTGTTAAATGACTGTACAAGTACACAGGCAACTTACCCAGCAGTGACCGTGCCAAAGATAGCAGCCCGTTCTGTGTGTTGCTGAGCCTGACGAACCTTTTTATTGAAACGCTCTGCTCGTTTTCGATGGAATCGCGTAGGCATATGAGACTACGGAATAAATCACGATAAACAGTTGGCCTTAACATACCGTATCCATCAAGGAATCGCTCGGAGTCTTCCGCGAAGCAATCAGAGTTATAAAAAATTATACTGTGAATAGGTTTGATGCCTGCAAAAAAGGCAGCGTTTAGGACAGCAATAATTGCTCTCAAACTATGTGAAAAGCTGAAGTGAGCAATGTGACCAACGAACAAATAAAGGTAGGCCGACAAGGCTATTGTTGGTAAACTTCAGTTCAGTATACAGGACACGGACGGGTACGCATACCGGAAAACCCATATTACTATTATGGACATGTTTCTTTCAAATGTTATAAGAGGATTCAGCAGAGTACAGAATTGAAGCAGGAACTGGACGCATCAGTGACACATGAGCCATTGATGGTCATAGATGGCCTCACAGATTCGCGGTTACCTAGAGTTGATCAAGTTTATTCGACGGAACAGTTGACAGCCGTTTATTTCACAATTTCCTGAAAATTTCTCATCAGTTCGCAAGCTGATGGACCACCAACGATAAATGATAGGAGAATCGTTCAGTTGTAATACACTTTCGGTGCCTACTTGCCATGCCGCACAAAGGAAGCACGAAGGCCAGGATACTGCAGGGTTGTCCAAGACAGGAGAAGTCAAGATGCAGAGGTTGGGTTCGAACCACGGAACCTCCGCTCAGTGAATTCGCGCTCTAACAACTGAGCCATCTTGACCCCGACCAATAAATTGAGTTCTTTGTCATGCCTGTAATCTAGATCACGTAGCCCCTTGTTCAGATACACTGAGGGTAATTGTGGATGAGTCCATGGTAACCTATTCAGATATTTTGAAAGATGGGCCATGGGTGCTGATCACTACTGCAAAGAAATGTCTATCATTCCAGTCGACCGACAGATGAGTATTCACTCAGTTGTTTATACGTTTGCCAGATATTATGCTGTAACACGGACAATGGGGGTCTTTCACCATAGCTACGCCTTCATTGCGAAGCTCAACCCATCATACTGGACAAACAGAAGAATTTAACGTCGATGAACTTATAGGATCATCGCTACCAACGTGTGGCTTTATTCCCTCATCCTTGGCGAACGACGGTGCATCAGTCTGGAGCACTACGCTTTGATGCACGGTTTGCGAGCTGAGAAACTGAACTGAACTCTGTTGCGAGCATTGCAGTGATAAGTTGTAGAAGGTTAAGTAAGTGAACCGAAGCGGCTGATACCCATGGTTGTACGGTACCGGAGCGTCGGTATGGATCTAATTTTATCGATGATGATGGCACCCATGGGTTGTCATCCAGTTGATAGCCAACAAAAATTAGTAGCACTATATGATTGCACCATTCGCTCTCAGGGCAAGGGGTTAAGGCTCATCACACTTTAACACCCAAATAGGGTTGTAGGTTTTAGAAAACGAAGGGGTTGAAAATATTTGCCATACGGAGCCATTGATGGCCACCGAAGCACATGGGCATCTTCGCGCACACAACGGCGCGTTAGGAACTTACAGTCTTCTATACAGCCTCCCCAACAGTAGCCGACCAACCTGTGACCAGAACTGGCTTCAGTATGATCGAGGTGGGTGTTTTTGGAAATCAGTAATGTCTCCCTCTGTACCCCCCCCCCACTAGGATGAGGAAGTCCTATTCACTGCCTTCGTCTGGTGGTTTTCACAAAAGTGCAACGGCGAAAGCAGATGAAAGGTGCTATAGCCTTGTTGGTAGTCGTTGATCCGTCTGAGGGAGCTGGCTGATTCCAAACCAACAACAGCGAGAACATATATGATCCTTGGTGGATTGAGTAAATGAGATTGGTTTTCGAATCTAACGGTCATGCACGCGTTGCTCATCAACTGCTCTCTACGTTCCCTGCTGCCTTGCAGCTTGAACTTGGTTATGCAAATGTTAGAGGGGTATTCTTGGTCGAAAGCCAGGGTTTCGAAGACTCACCGACGTTTGCCTCATTATTTGATCAACTGTATACGTCTTTTAGATAACACATTTTTACTATGTGTTGGAAACACTAGTAGAAACCTCCAGCTTTTGGATACCCCTTCGTATAGGTCGGGTTTAGCAGACAAATCAGGACCGGAATGACGGTTGCGCCGAGGACCCGGATTTTCGTACACGAACAGATCTCACAAGGTGGAGAACAGCTGCACGCATAACTGCTTGTGGGATATTGTCTAGGCAGTGTTACTTCTTTTCCTTAGCTCTTTCATTGGCCGAAATGATAACTAAGGTATTGGCAATCTGCCGGATTAGTTCACTTTCGTTGTGAAGCTGGAGAGGCATAACCAATGTAGGACTTTTTTATTCCGCATCCAACGAGTGATATGTGGTCAGACTATTTAGTACACGTTGAAGTTCTTCCAAATCATCACCCGACAGAACAATATTGTCAGCGTATTCCAGGTCAGTTGCCGAGGCCTATAGGCCTGATTAATGCCAAAGTATCCCTCCAAAGATGGTTCGATTCAGAAGTTAGAGAAATTAAAGAGCACCGGGGAAAGTTGACAGCCTTTTGCACATCAGACCCAGTGGCAAACTCTGATATTCCCTCGCTGCATTCCGTCACGAAGAGACTGGACCTTACCGTGGTGTGACGGTTTGCGCACCTCAGCGATCCATTGAGCTATACTGGAGAGTGTCCCGCGACACTCACAGAGTCTCTCATACCAGGTTGGTCAATGGTTAGAGGTCTGACGAACACAGTCTCCTGGCCATCCAGGTTGGGGGTTGGAACATGTGGCGACTTGTTCCGTAGAAATGCTAATGCATTT